ATATATATAGGCACACACACACACACATTAATCAATGCAACAAGTAATAAATTAGCAACACAAATTTTATGTGGAATATCCAAGATTGGAAAAACTGCGGTAGAGGAGAATTCACCATATCAAATAAGATATTGCAAGTGGAGAGTGTTTTGCATAAAACAGAAGAGGAGTATTCATAATTTTAGCAATACCCCTTAAAAAAGGTAATTAAAATAGAATCAATAAAGCAATAACACACAAATTGTAATCTAAAGGCAATTATATGCTTGATCTAATGGTTGAAACCTTCAATTTGTATGCTTGCAGGTTCCTTCTAAAGCCTCAATCAATGTTATCATAATTTTTTTATGAGATGATAAGCAGGATCCACAAAACCTGCGTCACGTCCAAAGATTGTATAATAGAATTTTCTCCACCTTTTCTACAAAGTTTAATGATCACAAATGAATACCAACTAAGTTTAAGCAATGCCCAAACTTGGCTATTTGAAATGCTTTAGTGATCATGTCTTCATGATTATCATGAGTATTATTCTTGCTCACAAAAATATCACCACGAGCAATAATTTTACAAATGAAGTGATTACAAACATCAATATGCTTAGTACTTTCATGAAACATTTGATTTTTATTGAGATAAATAACACATTAGTGTGATTATCTTCAAACTTTTTCTTTGCACTTCAAATAGACCTTTCAACCATAGAGTTTTTTTTCAAGTTTCAGTAATTGTTATGTACTCAACTTCAATTGTAGATAGTGTCACCATTGTTTATAAAATAGCCTTCCAGCTAATCGCATAGCCAACAATAGTAAACATGTATCATGCAAGTGATTTTTTTATATCAAGATCTTTAGCAGAACATAGCCAATGACTCTATCTTTAATCCTTCCACACTACGAAACAACATTTTTTATTTCACATAGATACCCGAGGATCCACTGAACTGCTTTCTAATATTCTTTACCTGGATTAGTCATATATCTACTAATTGCAATGATAGTATTTGATAAATCTTGACGAGAACTTACAGTAGCATACATGAGATATCCCACTATGTTGGAATATGGAACTCGAGACATATTCAATCTAATAATTAGATTGTGAACACAAAGCAATGAAAGTTTGAAATGTGCAGCTAATGGAGTGCCAAGTATTATGCATATTAAATCTTTTTTAATTTATCTTTTCTGACTTAGAAATAATTTACCCGTAATTCTCTCGCTCTAAATCTCCATGCAAAATATTTTCCATGCATCTCCCAAATCCTTCATCTCAAACTTACTAATAAGTCGAGTTTTTAACGTCTTGATATCTTCTTTATTTTTAGCAGCTATCAACATATCATCAACACAAAAGTGCAAGAAAATAAACGATCCTTTACTATTTTTATGAAAGTAAACACAGCTATCACAACTACTTATCTTAAACTTACGAGCAATCATGAACGAGTCAAATCTTTTAAACGGCTGCCTAGAAGACTGTTTCAAACTGTAAAGAGATTTCTTCAGCCAAAAAAAAAAAAAACACGAACTTCTTTTCCTCTAACCATGAAATCCTCAGATTGTTACATATAGATGTCTTCTTCGAACTCTCCATGCCAAAATGTACTCTTTACACCTAATTTCTCAATCTCAAGATCACTCTAAGCCATAATACCAAGTAAAACTTGAATTGTGTTTCGATTGAATATCAGAGAGAAAACACTAATAAATTTCCAATGTGGCCACGTCTGGCAACTTTCAGGTGTGGCCATGCTTAAACTGGCTT